AAGGGTTAGCTGCTTGGCAAAGAGTTCAATTAATGTATAGTGAAGTCCTCACTTTAACACCGTTGATAAGTTCTTGGAAACTGTGACTTTAAGCAACACAATATATAATGAAATCATTTTTTCTCATCAATTTTATAAAGAACAATGTTGGATGAAAGATATTATTTGAGGACCTGTTGTATGTCGTTTTGCTTGTAAATTGCTATTTCCAAGAACCTATACATGATGTTAAGTGAGAACTTATGTATTTACAGGCTAGCACCCATGTCCTTTTATAAGCATCATTGGAAAATGCTTGAATGAGGGCCTTTTACATTGAGTGGTAGATTTTGTTGTGTTCCTTCAAAGAAATTGACCTTTGCTCTGGGAGATAGTTAAGTTATTGCAGATTAAGTTTGCTTCTTTCAAGGTTTGTTTTTAAGCTTTGTTAGGGCAGACTCAGAGTACACTTTATTCTGGGCTAGTTTACCCTTTCTGCAATGACACGACCTTTCTGAGGTCTCCATTGAATGTCCCAGGTGTTCAATGATGTCCCTTCCCTCCACCCTGGCTGGTTGGAATTGAAAGTCTTGCAGCTCTGATGAACGTTAGCAGTTGTTCAGCTTATAGCTTCCTTTTGCCTGGCCATGTGGAGTTTCATCCTATATTGGTCAAGATTCAGCCAAAACTCAAGGGAACTCCTGTGCTGATTTTTGAAATCCTTGTTGGTATAGCCCCTTCCAGTGCTTTACTCTTAATGTTTGAGCTACTTTGTTCTCCTCAAACTCTGACCTCTGCCTCCTCAACCCAACAAGACCATTGTGCTCTGCTTGGGATCACTTTCCTGCCCTATGGTCTGGAAAGTACCTCCAGGCAGAAAGGGAGGGTGATCATTGGGCTCATCTCATTTGTTTTGCTTCTCTAAAGGTTACTAGTACAATGCTTCCTGTTGTTTTTAACACTTTGAAAGCAGTATTTTTCCTTTATTTCATCCCATTTTTTAGTTGTGTAGCAGAATAAGCCTGGTCCCAGTTGCTATGTCATGGACAGAATCAGAAGTCCTATTAGAAAAATGATTATACCACTGAAACACGTGAGCATTAATTCTGGTACTTTGTGACCCTTAAAATATGATCAGTACAAAATCCGTGGTGAAGAAAGAGAAAAAATCAGGATTAGCATCATAAAATAACAACTATAATAACAATCCTATATAGTTTGATCCAACTATAATAACAATCCTAAACATATAGGATTATTCTATGCATAGAATATATTATATGTATACATGTGTGTGGATAATTACATATATAGCTTAATCTTCCCAACAACCATGTTTAGGTAGGCATTATTATTATCTTTATTTACAGAGTTAAAAATTGAGATACAGAAAAAAGAAGTAACACGAGAACATACAGGTAGTGAATGGTGGATCTGGGGTTTGAACCTGACAATACTGGCCACATAAAAATTGCTGCCTCAGGACGCTGGGTAGGTCTCCCATCCCATCTGGGCAGTGAAGTGGGTTGTGTTTAGAAGAATAACATTGCTCAAGACTCAATTCTGTTCTCTCTCTTGTTCTCACTGTCTCTATTTTTTTTTTTTTTTTTGAGAAGAGTCTCGCTTTGTTGCCCAGGCTAGAGTGAGTGCCGTGGCTTCAGCCTAGCTCACAGCAACCTCAAACTCCTGGGCTCAAGGGATCCTCCTGCCTCAGCCTCCCAAGTAGCTGGGACTACAGGCATGTGCCACCAGCCCGGTAATTTTTGTATATATTATTTGGCCAATTAATTTTCCTATTATAGTAGAGACGGGTCTCGCTCTGCTCAGGCTGGTTCGAACTCCTGACCTCGAGCAATCGCCCCTCGGCCTCCCAGAGAGCTAGGATTACAGGCGTGAGCCACCGCGCCCGGCCTCACTGTCTCTATTTTTAATCTTCTCATTTCAAACTCCATCCCTAGAAGAATTTTTTTTTTATTTTGGCATATTATGGGGGTACAGATTTTAAGGTTTCAATAAATGCCCTTTCCCCCTCCCCCACAAGTCTGAGTTTCCAGCATGACCATCCCCAGATGGTGCACATCTTCACTTATTATGTATGTATATACCACCCCCCTTCCCCTGCCCAATACCCTATTACTGTACCTATGTGTCCACTTAGTGCTGCTCAGTTAATACCAGTTTGCTGGTGAGTATATAGGTGCTTGTTTTCCATTTTGGATACTTCACTTAGTAGTATGGTTCAGCTCTAACCAGGAAAATATATAGATGTGCTATATCACCATTTTCTTAGAGCTGAATATAGTCCATGGTAAACATATACCACATTTTATTAATCCATTCTGGATTGATGGGCACTTGGGCTGTTCCAAGCCTTGCAATTATGAATTGTGCTGCTATAAACATTCGAGTGCAGGTTTCTTTTTGTAGAGTGTCATTGGATCTTTTGGGTAGATGTCCAGCAATGGAATTGCTGGATCAAATGGTAGATTCACTTGTATCGCTTTAAGGTATCTCCATATTGCTTTCCACAGAGGTTGAACTAGTTCAGTCCCACCAGCAGTGTAGGAGTTCCTCTCTCTCCGCAACCACGCCAGCATTATTGTTTGGAGACTTTTTGATAAAGGCCATTCTCACTGGAGTTAAGTGATATCTCATTGTGGTTTTGATTTCCCTGATGATTAGAGATGTTGAGCATTTTTTCATATGTTTGTTGGCCATTCTTCTGTCTTCTTTAGAAAAGTTTCTGTTTATGTCCTTTGCCCACTTTTTAATAGGGTTATTTGATTTTTTCTTGCTCATTTTCGTGAGTTCTAAGTATATTATAGTTATCAGCCCCTTATCAGATGCGTAGGATGCAAAAATTTTCTCTCATTCTGTAGGTTGTCTGTTTACTTTCATGACTGTTTCTTTGGCTGTGCAGGAGCTTTTTAGTTTGATCATGTCCCATTTATTTATTTTTGTTGCTGATGTGATTGCCTTTGGGGACTTCTTGTAGAAGAATTTTTTTAACTGAAGCTTTATATATATTATCATGTGCATGACCCCCCATCTCTTTATAGCTACATCTATCTTCTATCAGTCAATCAATATCTATATCAATAGATACCCTTAACTCTACTTGACCAAACCTCCGCCTGCCTACTCCACATCCCTGTGTCTCTCCTGTCAGTACCTCAGACCCTACAAGTCTCAAACTGAATTCAATATCTGTTTTTTCTGTGATCCATACTTCAGTTAGTAGAGTGTCTCTTTTCCTAAAAGATGGTGAAAAATTGAGGGATCACTTTTAAATTTCTTCCCTCTCTGTCCTTTTCATGAAATAAGTTCTTAGGACCTTTTTTATTTGTGAAATGTCTCTCAGGAAGGTCCTTTTTCAGTTTCTGCTACCCTAATTCAAGACCTCCTTATCCCTTATTAATCTTGCAACAGAAACTTATTTGGCCTTCCTGTCTTTATTGTCCTCCTTTTCTTTCTGTCCTCCATAGTACTTGCAGAATTATCAGCATAAAAGTGAAATAGAATTGCCAATACCATAATTAAAATCGTGTGCTGGCTCATCATAGAACTCTAAGTCAAGAGTAAAGAGGCTTTGAAGTCTGACTGACCTGAGTTTCCTTTCTACCACTTTCTAGCCATGATAAGTTTGCAATTTACTTAACCCTTTATCCTTAGAGTCCTCTCCTATAAAATGGTCATAATAATAATTCCTCCTCAAGAAAATGTTATGAAGATGTTATTTCAATGAAAAAATGTTTAAAATATTTCAGTGCTCAACACATACTTAATAAAAGATAGGTATTGTCATTATGGTTAAGAGAATGGTATTCACAGCCTTCCAAATTTAACTCTACTACAGCTTGCCTTGCATATAGGTTTTAGATCTATTATCATCAAGCCCCAACCTTTTTGGCAGCAGGAACCAGTTTCATGGAAGACAATTAATTTTTCCATGGATATTGAGGGTGGAGGGGAGTAGGCAGAGCTCAGCCGGTGATGCCAATGATGGGGAGTGGCTGTAAATACAGATGAAGCTCAGCTGTCTTGTTGGCTGCTCACCTTCTGCTGTGTGGCCCTTGCTTCCTAAGTTTCATGAAAGAAAATTTTTCTGTTGAGGGGAGCGCCAGGGAGATGGGAGGTGGTGCTTTGCAGCAGGTCCCTAAGAGGAGTTTGGGGACTGCAGTATCAGCTCACTTGCTAATGTGGCCCACATTTTCATACCTCCACATTTTGGCTCATGCTGTATTCCTTCAATATGGAACCTTCCATCCCCAACCCTTTAAACCAGGGGTCCTCAAACTTTTTAAATAGGGGGCCAGTTCACTATCCCTCAGACCATTGGAGAGTGCACACTGTGGGCCTGGGACAAGCGGGCTGCTAAGCAGGACAAGCAGCAGCAGCAAAAACACCCGGACTGCCGGATTATAGTTTGAGGACACCTGCAAACCCTGCTTGTTGAAAGAATACTGTGCAACTTCTCCTATGAAACTTTTCTTAGTTACCACAGTCAGAATTACTCTTTAGGGCTTCTTTAGTCTTAATGAGAGAATATGTATTAGTTATTCTGTTCTTCAGCACTTAGCTTGGGCTCCTAGAGTCAGACAAATAGCAGGATGAGTTAACTTGAGCTATTGTTATTGTTATTTATTTATTGTGTACGGTCTTCTTTAATCTCCATCAGATTGCTATCTCCTCAAGGGCAAAATCATCTGATTTATTTTTGTCTCCTCTCACAGTGCCTAGTTTAGTCCCTTGTACATAATGAGTACTTTGTAAATGAGTGTCGAAGTTAAAAAGTGGAATTTCAGCCTCTCTGGAGCTACCTGATGGTGGAAAGAGGTAAGGTGGGTAAGATTAGAGGTGATCCTCTTTGGATATTGTGGAGCAATCTGCAGTAACTTCATGCAGGTGGAATGGGAGCTTGGTGCTCTTGCATCTACCGGGCTGTGTGGCAGAATTCTTACTGTAACTAGTTATTTTAGGTGGTTTTTTTTTTTTTTTTTTGCAAAGCAAGGCCTTCATATTCTCAAAGTACCCAATTGTGCGAAATATCACTAGTAAAGCAATATTTTTTTGTGTTAAATATACTTCTACCTTTGTCCTTTTATTTTCCTAACATTTCTTCAGATACTTAAGATAATTTAGAGGTCTTTAGGAAAATTAATGTATTTTCCAAACAATGTTTCACATTGAGTTAAATAGTCTCCTTCTAAAATACAATAAATGAAAATAAGTATGAGACTAGCTTTTTCAGGCATTTACCCTGTGATCAATGTCAGACATATCACTCCTTAGGAAATCTTGAAATTCACAACAGTGAAAAAAGGTGTGTTTTCTCCATTTTCCTCTTTCTTGCTTTTGTTCAGATTTAAATAGACAAATAGTTATTGAGGAAAATACTATTTTAATAGACTGTTTTACAGTATCTGCTTTTAGGGCAGTGATTTGCAAAGTGCTATTTAAAAAATGAAGGAAATGTAAAAATGCCTGCAGATCTGGGAAAATGTGTTCTTACTGTTTGATGTTGGATTTTTAAAACAATAATATTAAACTTTAACATTTTGAACTGTGCTAGCTTAGTAGCTCTGTATAAATAATTCCTAATGGAGAAAGTATATTGGTACAATAGTAATTCTGTAAATATTTCAGGGATAAATACTGATACAATTTGGCTTAAGCAAGATAAAAAAAATGAAGGACACAAAGAAGAAAAAAATAAGGTGATTTAAAACAGTGAGTATTTAAAGACTTTTAGGTAATGATTCTCTATCGAGTGGTACCTGTTAATGAAAGCTAAAACTTACTCACCAAACAGCATGGGAAGAAGTGCCATAGAAATTACAAATAAGTGACCCAAAGGAAATATACCTAAAAAGTTGGAAACCAGTTTTAAAGACTTGCATTACTTTGAAGTTTTAGATCGATTCTATCTTTCTACAGAAACATACATGTATTTTCTCCTTTCCTAATATAATACTGATCACAGATCTCCACCATCCTCGTTTAAATCATTTTGTATTCTATTAAGTCCAACAACATCTGAACATGCTCCTCAGTCCATAAACCATGCATAGTATGCATATGAATTCACAGATGCCTTCTGAAAACCATACCACGGATTAGAAATTATTGGGACCCTTAATTTACATATGGGAAAATGAAGTCCTGAGTGGTTTAAGTCAAGCAGTCACAAATTAGGACCTGCGGATGGAATTTAGCCCTACAGGCATGTTTTGTTTGGCCTGTTAGGAAACTTTAAAATATTTGAGCAAACAGCTAAAAATCAGGAAATTTTTAGCTTCTTATGAAAATTTAGAGGATGTGACACTGTTGGACTGATACTCCAGCAATGGACATCATTTGACGTCAATTGAGTTGCTTAGCACTCACCTCTTTTACTTGATTCATATATCTCTAGTTTATAAACCTCATAGTTCCCTTTTATTTTTTTACCTGACTCTGTCTCGCTTATTCATGTTACCTGCCTTGCTCTTCTGCAAATTTTTGTTATATAGCAAGTCAGAGGCAGAGAGGAAAGTAGAAACTTCTCTCTTGTCTCCTAAAGCAGTTGTAGATTCCTAGCCCATCACTGAGGCAGTGGTTTATAAGCAGAAGGAGCCTTGGGTTCTAGCCCTTCCATTGCCATTGACTTACTGTGTGGCATTGATCACTTAACTCCTCTGAGCTTCAGTTTGTTATCTGTCAAAAGGTCATAATAAGCATTTTAATCATGTACATAGTTTTAAAAAACAGCTCCAGAAGTAAGGGGACTTGGTGATAGATTACACATAAGGAATGATATTAAAGTTTTAGTTTGTGATCCTGTAAGAATAATGCTGTTATAGACATACATACAAAGGAAAATTGGGAAGAGAAGCTGATTTTGGGGTAGATTGATGAATTTGGTTTGGAATTTATTGAACTTTCTATGCTAGTAGCATATCTATTAATAAGCTACTTGTCCAGAATGATTTAGATATGTTAGAATACACACAGAGTATTGCAGTTATTTGTGACTGCTGCCTGCAGTTATGTCATTTTCTCAGGAGGGAGGTATAGCTTCTTACTCATATTTCTAATACTTAAATAGGGACTGGCAAATAGAAGGTGCTTTAGCCACTGGTACTTAATAAGTTTATTGAGATGAGGGATAAGGTTGGCATGTAACTATGACGCATGTCATAAAAAAGGCATAGGCTCTGAAAAGGTCATTATGGGTCTGAATTTCAGCGCCACCATGTTGTATATGTGCAGTCGTAGTTGAACAAATGAATCTTAGTGTCCTCATCTGGAAAATGGAACACTAAAGACCTTCTTTGCAGGTCTATGAGATAATGAATGTAGGTATGGGTTCTAGCATAGACTGGTGTCTCAATAATCATTCAGCTACAGTTGTTAACATTATTCTTATAAAGATAATGCTTTCCCTATTGAATTTTAGACTCTCAGGCTTGGAAAAAAATCTCAAAAGTAATCCCTGAGTTAACTAATTGTTTTGGGTGTTTTAATGACATAATTATAATCTGATGCAGTTATTGATCAATTTGCATATAATCTCATACATTAGCCAATCCTGGTAATGCATACAGAACTCGGAGAGTAATAAATTAAATATTTTTGGAACATTAACCTCATAGTACATCAGTTACTATTATTATGTACTTCTGGTGGTATTCTGGTAGTTTATACTACCCTAGTATATTCCCAGATATCAAAACAGCTTTATGGTGGAATAGGAATTGATAGACATGTTGGATGATGAATAGCAGAATTACATAGTATTTTATATTTGTAGGTGGATCTCCTTAAATAGGATGGAATAATTTCACAGAAGTAGTAAACTCAATCCCCATACCAATATTTTTCTAGTAATAAAATTAGTGCTAAATTTAGAGGAAAAAAATAGAATCTATTAAAGTTATTTTGGGGGCAAAGTTCTTGATTAAAATTTTTTATTCTGTCAGTTACCTCAAATCTTTTTTCTGCAAATCAGAATTAAAGTCTTTGGCTTAGAGTCCTTTCCTTTTCCTTCTTTTCTCTTGATATAACTCACAAATCTAAGTATACCTTTTGAAATGGTTTCCTGCCTGTGTAGGTCTCCTTGGGCTCTGATTCCTTAGGAGCTTTTGGGTGCCTCTGAAACTGCATGCTTTACTTTGTGTGTTGGAGCAGATGTCGTGGCACTAAGACCCAGAAACCGTTTGCTCTGTGTGGCTGGAGCTGGGCAGGCTGTGTTCGCACTGAAGGGAAGGAAGTCATTAGTGCAGACTGAGCTGTGGAGTTGGGTTCTTGCAGGATATCCTTCCAGCCTTTCCCCCACTAAGGTTCTTGGGAATTAAAAAAAAAAAAATCTAAACACACAAACCAAGTTTTCCTATTTACAGTGTTCAGGGAAGGTAGGCATTTCGGGAAGGGCAGATCCTTTCCCCAAGTTATCCAAGAAGGAAGAGAAAACAGCGTCAAGAAGCTCTGATTACAGATCTTTGGAATTTTCTTTGCTAAATTTTACAAACGAGAAATACACCCAGAATTTTGGGAATTGCTCCAGGCTGCGCGTGAGGGTTTGATTGCTTGTCTAATCTTTTTTGAGAAGAGGAGAATTCGCCAAAAGGGGTTTGGATGGCAGGAGCCGGACTGGGATTCTGTAGCGGCTCGCGTTCTCAGTCTCTTCTCTGAGTGAGGGTCTCTGCTGCCAGCTTGGAGACCCCCTGCCGCAGGCTCCTCTTGCAGGCGCCGGCCGGGGAAAATGCCCCGCTCTGGCAGCTCTGGCGGGAGTACGCCGGTGGCTGCTGGGACTTCCTAGCCCGCTGGAAGTGTGTTCGTGGTTTGGGGATACTTTTCATTGAACTGAAGGCGAAAAGACTGGACTCTCCTGGGGTTTTCCCCATCTCAGTGAATATGGGAAAGAATTAGGAGGTGGGAGGGAGGCAGCATGACTTGCAGTCGCCGCTGCCCTGCATCTGCCCCCAGCCCCCAGCCAACATCTTGATGTTCCACGTATCGGCTGTACAAATATGATGAAATGGCAGCCCCGGAAGAAGGTAAGTGTCCCGGAGTGGGGACTGGGCCCCAATGCCAGACCTAGGGAAGGGTGACAGGGGGTGGTTGCCCTCAGGTCCCTCCACCCCTTCTGTAGTTCGCTGGACCAGCCGGTCCAAGCAGCCCTGGTCCCTTAGGGACTTGCTGTGGTCCCGCAGGGACGAGTTACCAAGTCCGGTCTGCGTCCACTGCCTTCTAAGTTTTTTCCTCTTGCTATGCCTGGACCCTCAGGGTGACAGCTGAGAAACACCCGTTTGCTTTAGAAGTCCTGTGGAGACAGCTAAATGATTAGCTTTGTGGGAGCCAAGCCAAGAGCTGCCAGGGTCTGAGGACTCAGTGTTGCCCGTCTCCTGGGGGCTATTAGGGGGCTGCACCCGCGACACATTCCAAGGGCCCCCGCGCAGGTGGGTGCTGTGACACCTACTTCCCCAAGGGGTTAATAGGCTCGGAGCCGCTGGCAGCTGCTTCCCCAGGGCCCCGCTGGGGGGCGAGCAGCCCCAGCACAACCGCCCAGCAGCTGGTTCCTGGGCGGCGGGCTGCGGGGCCTCCCGCCCGAGCGAGCGCCTGGGGCCGGGCCGCGGCTGGGCTTTCGGCCCGCTGGGCTCCCAGCGGCCTCGTGGGCCCGTGCGAGTGTGCGTGCCGGCCATTGTGCACAGGCGTGTGTCTGCGTGTCAGTGTGCACCAGCGTGTGTGCATCGATCGTGGGGAAGGGGGGAGGGGACACTTTGCTTTTTGCGAGATTATTTCCTAATATGGCTCCTTTGTTGAGAACTCAAGAAAAAAAAAATGCAGTGGTTCTATCAAAATAAATTACTATTGGTCCCAGAAATAACGTTTCTAAATGTGGGGCTGGTTCCTACCCCAAGACGTTGAGGGAGAAAGACAGCTCTCTTCAAGTTGTTGGCAGCTGTACGTTTGACTAGGGCTCCCTTTTGCTAACTTGTCTGACTGCCCCTAACTGTTAGGTGAACCCAGTGGTTCACTGCATAACAGGACTTTTTTTTTTAACTTCAAATACCTCATTTGGACATGGTTTTTATTGACATTCTTCTGAAGGAAAACATAGCGAACTGAATGTGCTGTGCCCCTCCCCAGCCGTGACCTGTCTCTGTTAGCAGCTGCCTGGTGTTTTATTTGAACTAGCTAAACTGACTCTTTCTTTGTGGCATGATGTGTGATACCGTGTTTTGCATCAGAGCTGAAATAGAAATCACATGTGGTGTGAAGTGCACGAGAAGATATTGTGCATTTGTTTTATTGCTCGAGAATCTAGCTCTAGCAATCCAGAATCTTCAGCATAGCCTGGTGAATTGATAGGTTTTCTTTGATACCTAATTGATGTGATTTTTGTCCTCTGATATTGTATCTTTTGTACCTCATTCTGAAGTCAAGAATCTCTCCTATATTAGTTATTATCATAGAGCTTCTTTCAGTGAGATTGGTTTCATTTACTTTGGTTGAGAGATCCATGTATTCCCCACCCCCATCTCCAACCCCTAGTAAAAACAGGATGGGGAAAACCCATAGAAGAAACCATATAATTACGCAATTTAAACAGATGCTGCATATTCCTAAAGTCCTCCATTTCTCCTATATTTGTAAATTGCATATTTATGAATAGTTTTAAGATGTCTGCAAACTGTACATTCATAAATGTCTGTTTTTTCTATTTTACCCAATATGCAGTAACTCATGTGGTTATGTCTGTGGAAACCCCTCTGGGTACTGGTATTGCTTGAACCACGGAAGTATTATTCTTGGCAGTCAGGTAGATTTCTGGACTCTGGAAGATTCTGTTTCAAGTGCTAGGATTCACTCTGCAGTATTTACTCACTCTGTGATGCTTAAATTGCTATACCAGAAGGTTGTATTTATTCACCGTATTTATAATCTCAAATCATCATTTTATAAGGATCTAGATATAATTCTGCAGAGTTCATAGAAGATTAAAAAATAAGCTGAGCCATTAAATATTGTATGATTACTTGGTAGTGGTTTGAGAACAATTCTTGCTTCTGCTACATTAGAAATGGAAGCTTCTTTGGAAGAGACCCCATATCCAACTCTGATAGGGCACCAATAAGTCTTTACAAAGATTAAGTTTATTTTCTTACTGTTGCCAGAATACTCATATGATCAGATCATTACCATGGTTTCTGACTGGGTCTGCTAGCACATTTGTAGTGGTACAGTCACATGTGATGTGTTTTTACCAAACTGTTTCATAAGAACCATTTACACTACAGATGAAAAGTAATACTGCATTGATGTGATTTTAACAAAGCTAGGAATATCATACACAGAATGCTGCCCCAAGCAGCATTTGTGGTAGGTTGTTATCATGATGTCCTGCCACTACTAGTTTTGGCTTTTCTAAATGCTAGGCTCACTGTAAGAGAGTGACTATAGGTTCTAGATCTCTTTGTTTCTAACTGAGCATGCAGCTGGAGTATATGATTGAAGGGAAGCTCTTTCCTCCTCTTTTCTCTGCTTACTTGCTAGGTTAAACTAAATTCTAAAACAAGCTTTTTAAAGATGTGAGCCTGGGGAATTCAATTAGAGTCTGCTACCTTTATACAAAGAAACCATCAGAATGAGATTAATCATGTTCTGCCCCCAGGACCAGTGTAGAGCTTTGGACTCAATCTTATAGAGCACAGTGGGTCTCCTACCAATTGCCATGTAATTGCCTTACAAAGAAAGATTCACAAGAATATACTTGTATCTCCAAACTCATCCAGTTGTATTAAATATATACAGCTTTTCCTATGTCAATCATACCTGAAGAAAGTGGCTTTAAAAAAAAAGCAAGATTCTGAGCAGTTGTCCTGATTTCATCACAGTAAGAATGGCATTTGATATCATACAAACAACAGCAACAATTTTTAAAGCATCTGCTCTACGCTAGTCATCTCTAATTAGTCTATATGCATTTATTTAATTCTTATCCAATAAGGTGGTACATGTTACAATTTGCCTTTTACAGGGAAGGAAACAGATTTGGAGAGGTGAAGTGAATTACCCAGAGTCACACAGCATGTTAGGGTCAGAGCTAAGAATATACCAGGCTTTATTTACTTGAAAAATGTGTTCTTTACCATTGTACTTGGGAACTTCAATGACCAGGACACTTTATCCAAGAAAGAAAGCTAAGAAGATCCCAATAAATGAAACTTAGGCCTAGCTTTGCTCTTTTACTTTTGGATACCAGCACCAGGATGCTCTTCTCCCCCTTGTTCTTTTCTTTTAAAGAAACAGTGATTTTACCTACCTCTGAATTTTTGGAGCTTTTGAAATACTTTGGATAGTCTTTTATAGATTGTAATCTTTTTATCTCTTTGTGCATATATCTCTATCTCTTTATGTATGTATCTAGCTTCATCATGATACTTTGAACTCCTAGAGTTCAGGAACCATGTCTCACATCTCTTTTTTGGTGCCAAGGGTAATATAGTTGCTCAAGAAGTATTAATATTTATTTGATGTAAAAGTAAATGAGTGATTATTTTATAAAACTTGCATTTTTAGACTTTCTTATATTTTAATTGATTGATAGATATTATACTGTAGTGGGTTACTAAAGAAAACCAGGGCCAGGATGATCGCTCACACCTGTAATCCTAGCTCTTTGTTAGGTCCAGGAGGGAGCATTGCTTGAGGCTAGGAGTTCCAGACCAGCCCAGGCAACACAGCAAGACTCTGTCTTTACTGTAAAGCAAGCAAACAAACAAAGTAATTAGCTGAGCATGGTGGCATATGCCTGTAGTCCTAGGTACTTGGGAGGCTGAAGTGGGAGGATCACTTGAACTGGAGTTGGAGGTTATAGTGAGCTATGAGAATGCTGCTGCACCCCAGCCTAGGTGACAGAGTGAGATCTTGTCTCCTAAAAAACAAACAAAAAGAAAACAAAACCAGAATATTTTTTCACTCACTTCTAGTCTTTTGCAGACAATATCAGAATGAGGGCAGCTATACTCTCTGCAAAATCTTGAAATCTCATTGGAAGTCATGGTTAAGACACAGTACCAGGCTATGTAGGCAATGCTCCAGATCCAGTGTCATGATGCTTTTATTCACATAACATTACTGGCCTGGCAAAATATACTTTCCACTGTTTATACCTAAAGAGGTTATCATGCATCACATTATTTTTATCATGTGTTTGCAGAAACTATAGTAATTAAAATGCTCATCTCATAAGAACATGTTTGTTTACAGTTCTGAAGCTATTTCTACTCTTTAAAATCCAAAGATTAGTATCAGATAACACTATGTAAATAAGACTGCAGTCAAAACCTTCAGGAAAGCTGCTGCTGATTGGATTTTTTCATTGCTTATCTAATGTTATTTTACTGTTCACACATAATAAAAGATCATTAATAGGAATATGTCACATAAGCTACATTAATTATGTCATTTGAGAGTCATATGATATATTTATCTTGTTATACTTGTCACATTAATAAAATGTGAATCTGTCTTCTTAAATGACTTCTCTGATGGAGTTTCATTTAAAAAGCTTGTTTGGAAGCTCACTTGTGAGGATTATGTCTTGTAAATTTGTGTCTTGGAATAGCTTATTTTACAAAGGAATATGTTTCAAATCCCTACACTTTCCCTGTGATTAAGTATTTTGTTTCTGGAATGTAAAGCTAAATCTCAAATTTTAATACCAAATTACTTTAGTTACCTCTCTGGATCCTGTGCTAGTTGATACTATCATATTATTCATTTTGGGCCACAGTTTGTTTATTAATTAAAATTAGACTTAAAAAATAAGCATTATGGACAAGAGTAGTTATAAAGAGAAGTCTTAGAAATTTCATGATAAAGATCTTTCCACAAATCCATTCTGTAACACCATTCCCAGATCAGTGCAACGTAGAGATCCACGTTTTGGTTCTGGCACCTCTCTTGACTCAGGTCCTTAGGCAGGTCATTTAATCTTTCTTATTTGACTCCCAACTGTCATAGTATAGTACCTTATTATCACTTGCTGAAT